CTGGGAAGGGATGTGAAGGGTAAACAAAGGAGGAGGCTGCAATGCTTGGTAAGAAATGTACGCATTATCCTGCCCATGTAATTGTAACCCCTCTCTACAGTATCTTCACAAATAAAATAAAAAGCCAGCACAGGCAGGAAAATCCATGAGACTCTTACTGCAATGAATCACCAAAAAAAATGGGAAGGAGCTGTGTGGCTCAAGTAGTAAAGAGTTAGACTTGAGTAAAAAAGCTCAGAGGGCTGGGCACCAGTGGTTCACACCTGCAATCCTAGCTTCTCAGGAGGCTGAGATCTGAGGATTGTGGTTCAAAGCCAGCCCAGGCAGGAAAGTCCATGAGACTCTTATCTCCAATTAACCACCAGAAAACCGGAAGTGGCACTGTGGCTCAAGTGGTAGAGGGCTAGCATTGTGTTGAAGAGCTTAGGGACTGCTCAAGCCCAGAGATGAAGCTCCACGACTAACCGAAAAAAAAAAAAGTTCAGAGGTCTAGGACTGTAGCTTAATGGTAGAGTCCTTGCTTAGCATGCATGAAACCCTGGGTTCAATTCCTCAGTACCACATAAACAGAAAAAGCTGAAAGTGACACCGTGGTTCAAGTGATAGAGTGCTTGCCTTGAGTAAAAGCAACTCAGGGATAGCACTTGGGCTCTGAGTTCATGCCCTAGGACCAATACCCAAAAAATATACTCTTCCCAAGTTTGGTGGCCTATGCCTAGATCTATCTAGCTACTCAGGAGGTTGACATCAAGAGGATCATGGTTCAAGGCCAGCTTGGTCATAAACATTACTGGACCTTCATCCTAAATAAAATTTTGTTCATGGTGGCATATGCCTATCATCCCAGCTGTATGAGAAACATAAATAGGACCATGATCCAGGTCATCTTGGACATAAATATAAGACCCTGTTTGAAAAATGAAAAGAGCTAAAGGCTTAACTCACGTGGGAGAGTACAACATCCTGAGTTCAAGCCCCAATAATGCCACAAAAAACTATTCTCTTTTGAACTCAGGGCCTGGATGTTATCCCTTAGCTCTTATGCTTAGGGCTAGCACTATAATACTTGAGTTACACCTCCACTCCCAACATTTTGGTGGTTAATTGGAGATCAGAATCTCTTGGAATTTCCTACCTAGACTGGCTTTGAATCTTGATCTACAGATCTCAGCCTCCTAAGTAGTTAAGATTACATATGTGAGCCACAAGCTCCCAGCTTCAATGTTCTTTTGATAGTAACTTTAAACACCAGGATGGTGTTTTCAAGACCTAAAATCCTATAGAACCACAAAAGTGAGCTGAATTTTTATCTTGAATAAACTCTAGTAGTGAGGATTCACACCAAAATTGATATATGGAAACATACTCAAATAGTAGAGAAAAAGCAATCAAAATAGTGTCTTACCTCTTAAGAGGAAATTTCTGGGAACCATTTGGTATATTTCTTGGTGCCAGATGGTTATAAACACGTTTTTTTGTGTTTTACAAAAGCAGGTTTATCATATACATGTTATTTTACAATTTTTTCATTTGCAACTGGTGCTCTACAGCTTGAACCTTGCCCTCTAGTTCCTGACTTTTTAAAACATCGTTGCCTATAGAAATTTGGATAGGGGCTGGGAAGGTGGCTCAGTGGTAGAAGAGCACTTGCCTTACATGCATGAGGCCCTGGGTTTGATTCCTCAGCACCACATAAACAAAAAAAGAAGAAGAAGAAGAAAAAAAGAAATTCGGATAAGGCGTGGGAATGTGGCTTAGTGGTAGAGTGCTTGCCTAGCATGTGTGAAGCCCTGGGTTCAATTCCTCAGTACCACATAAACAGAAAAGGGCAGAAGTGGCTCTGTGGCTCAAGTGGTAGAGTGGTAGCCTTGAGCAAAAGTTCAAGGATAGTGCCCAGGCCCTGAGTTTAGGTCCCAGGACTAGCCAAAATTAAAAAAAAAAAAAAGAAATTTGGATAAAATAGTGTCTGCATGCTATTTCAGTATTTATTCTCTCCATAGACATTTAGATTTCCCCCATAATTTGCTTTTTTTTTGGTAGGGGGGTTCAGTCATGGGGCTTGAACTTTGGGTCTGGGTGCTATCACTTCAGTTCTTCAGCTCACGGCAAGCACTCTACCATTTGAGCCACAGAGCCACTTCCCCATAATTTGCTTTTAAGACAAAACTAAATTAAACATTTTCCTAATTTTACGTCTTTATATGATTACTTCTGTAGGGTATATACAAGTGCAATTGCTGAGTTGAATTGATAGTTAACATTGTAATAACACATTGTAGCTATACCACTTTATACTCCAAGTAAATATACAAGGGGGCTTATTTACCCACATCTTAATAGTCCTTGAATGGATATTACCAAGATTTTCATTTTATGCTAATAAATTGAATTTATTTTTTAGTTTTATTAGTTGGGTATGGTAGCACATACCAGCCATTTGGGAAACCTGAGGCAAAAGTATTGTCAAGTGTGGTGTCGCCTCTCAAGTTCTTTAATTTAATTTTGTTCATCAGCTTAATTTTGAGATTATGTATCATCTCATATTTGTTACTATTTAAATTTTGCATTTTTTCTTCTTTGGAATTACCTTTTCAGATTCTTTGCTCTATATGTGTGTGTATTGGTTTGGGGCTTGAATTCAGGGCCCCTAAGCACTGTTTCTTAGCTTTTTGCTCATAGGTGGTGTTCTACCACTTGAGCTACAACTCCACTTCTGTCTTTTTGGTGTTTAATTGCAGATAAGAGGCACTGGTGGCTTATACCTGTAATCCTAGCTACTCAGGATGCTGAGATCTGAGGATCATGGTTCAAAGCCAGCCTAGGCAGGAAAGTCTGTGAGACTCTTATATCTGAATAATCACAGAAAAAAAAAAACAGAAGTAGTACTGTAGCACAAGTGATAGAATGCTGGCCTCGATCAAAAGGAGCTTAGAGACAGTGTCCAGACCCTAGTTCAAGCCCCATGAACTAAACAAAAAACAAACAAAAACAATCAGGTAAATCAAGTCCTAGTACCAGTAAAAAAAAAAGTCTCAGGCTGAGAAAGTGGCTTACTGGTAGAGCGCTTGCCTTGCATGCCGAGGCCCTGGGTTCAATTCCTCAGCACCACATAAGCAAAAAGGAAAAAAGCCGGAAGTGGCACTGTGGCTTAAGTGGTAGAGCGCTAGCCTTGAGCTGAAGAGCTGAGGGACAGCGCCCAGGCCCAGAGTTCAGGCCCCACGACCGGACCAAAAAAAAAAGTCTCACAGACTTTCCTGCTGGACTGGCATTGCCCATTTTTTATGTTGCTTCTTAATTTCTTATTGAGTTTTATGACCTTATTTACCCTTTGCATAGGTGTGTTTACATACAAAGTCATAAGCTTACACAATGGACCCAAGCTTGAACTCAGAGCTACTTTGCTTGGCTTTTTCACTCAAGGCCAGCACTATATCACTTGAAACTTCCTTAGCTCATTGCAATATCTTGAAAATATTTGCTTTCTGCCAGTCGCTGGTGGTTTACACCCATAATCCTAGTTACTCAGGGGGCTGAGATCTGAGGATCATAGTTCAAAGCCAGCCTGGGTAAGAAAGTCTGTGAGACTCTTATCTCCAGAAAGTCTGTGAGACTCTTATCTCCAATAAACCACTCAGAAAATGGAAGTGGTGCTGTGGCTCAAGTGGTAGAACACTAGCCTTGAGCTAGAGTTGAGGGACAGCACCAAGGCCTAGATTTCAAGTCCAGGACTGGCAAAAAAATATGCTATAGTTGTCTGTGTCACTATATTGAAATTTTAGAGATTTGTCCTTATTAGTTTGTTCATATATTTCTATGACTGCTTTGTTTAATGTCTTGCTTAGGAAGGTATTTCTGATTCTAAAATTGTGAAAATATTCTGTAATTTCACTTTTCTTAGTCTCAATTTCTTGTTAAACTGTCTTGTACTAGCATAGTTTCTAGATTCAACATTATAAGACCATGGTCATTGAAATGTTTTTTGTATAATTTTTCATCCAGACACATTCAGGAGGTGGTAAATCTGCAAACCCAGCAGAATAAAGAGCTGCAGGAGCTCTATGAACGCCTGCGATCCATTAAAGATAACAAAGCCCAGTCTTCAGAGATTCCTTTGCCACCTACATCACCACGTCGGCCAAGATCTTTCAAAAGTAAACTTCGCAGCCGTCCCCAGTCCTTGACACATACAGACAATAGCATGGTTACAAAAGGTAACTCAATCATAAAAGTAATTTTTTAAAAAATCTGTCAGAGCCTCTGAACTCATCACTGGAGACCTGGAGGCAGGGGGATCACAAATTCAGGGCCAGCCTAAACTGCAGTACAGACTTTGTCTAAAAATTCATTAGGAAAAGATTAGCAAAATTAGAAATACAATGATAATATAATTTGGTTTTTGTTAGACTAAAGTGATTTAGAGAAGTACACATTGTTCTAAAATTTTTTTTCTATTCTTTTGATGATAAATGTTGTTTTATGAAATAACAATGAAAATAACAGATTGATTTTTGGAGAACAGCTGAATTTGTTTTATCTTTTCATTGGGTAAACTAGAAGACCAATATAATTTCCCAGAATTGTTTTGGAAATCTTACCAGTCAGTGACAATTGCTGTTCTAACATTGAGAGTATACTGATAACAAAGATAAACTTTAAAATATTGAGATGAGGTTCAGTGGTAGAATGCTTGTTTTACATGCATAAAGCCACTAACTTGATTCTTAATGCCACACACATCAAATATTCTCGTGCTATCTGAAAAAAAGAGATCATTGGTATTATCTATAAGAATATTAGTAGGGGCTAGAAATGTAGCTTAGTGGTAGAATGCTTGCCTAGCATGCGTGAAACCCTGGGTTTGATTCCTCAGTACCACATAGAAAAAAAGAAGGAAAGAAAGAAAGAAAGAGAGAGAGAGAGAAAGAGAGAATATTAGTAGCTGGGTAAAGTGTCTTATACCTATAATTTTAGGTATTCATGAGGCTGACATTTGGAAGATTATAGTTTGAAGCTAGCCTGGGCATAAAAATCTAAGAGACTGAGCTGGGATGTAGCTCAGTGGCAAAGCGCTTGCCTAGCAAGTGCAACGTCCTGGGTTCGATCCCCAGTACCAAAAAAGAAAAGACAAAAAAAAATACAGTTAAAAAAAATCTAAGAGACTTTATTTCCAAAATAACCAGCAAAAAGCTGGGTTGGAAGCAGGGCTCAACTGGGAGAGCACTAATTGATCAAGTCAAATAAGTGCAAGGTCCTGAGATCAAACCCCAGTACTGGCTAAAAGTATGTTACTTGGAAAAGAGAAGGGTCAATATATACTTAGTTAATTTCTCTCGCCTGTAATCCTAGCTACTTAGGAGGCTGAGATCAAAGTTCAAAGCCAGCCCAGGCAGGAAAGCCCATGAGACTTTTATCTCCAATTAACTGCCAGAAAACCAGAAGTGGCACTATGGCTCAAATGGTAGAGTGCTCACCTTGAGCTGAAGATCTCAGGGACAAAAAAAAAAAAAAATAGGTTAAATTTCTTTGGTTCCATATTCAATCAGGTTAGGTTGAGGGTACACTCTAAGACATATGTGAAATCTCAATAAAACTTGTAGTGGACAATGTAATGGCTCCTTAAAGAGCAAATATGTAGAACAGTTATATAGTAAAGGAGAATTAAGAGTGCAGGTAGAATTTAAATAGCTCATCAACTAACTTTTTTTTTTTGGTCTGTCCTGGGGCTTGAACTCTGGGCTTGGGCGCTGTCCCTCAGCTCTTCAGCTCAAGGCGAGCTCTCTACCTCTACCGCTTGAGCGCCACTTCCGGTTTTATAGTGGTTTATTGGAGATAAGAGCCCCACGGACTTTCCTCCTTGGGCTGTCTTTGAACCATGATCCTCAGATCTCAGTCTCCTGAGTAGCTAGGATTACAGGCATGAGCCACAGGTGCCCAGCTTCATCAACTAACTTTAAGCAAGGAAGATAACATTGGATCCAGTGGCACTGTGGCTCAAATGGTAGAGTGCTAGCCTTGAGCTGAAGAGCTCAGGGACAGTGCCCAGGTCCAGAGTTCAAGCCCCACAACCGACAAAAAAAAAATACAAGCTAGTCATATGTGGTGGTTTACTCCTGCATTCTCTGCATTGAGGAGGCTGCAGCAGATGTGTGGCAAGTTCAAGGCTAGCCTGAGTTCCACAGGGAGACCTTGTCTCAGCAAACCAAAAACCTGTACTTTGATCTTCCTAAAGTCAGAGATAAAGGTATATTTGAATTGAAAGAAACTGTGAGGATTTAATTGAATTCCTAAGATCTTCAGTCTAATGTTATATTTCATTGTATTATGTGTGGTCCCCCAAATGGCTTGTTTATTTATTTTTAAATAAAGCCTTTCTATGTTTTCTAGTCTGGCCTTAAAACTCTTGTGCTCAAGTGATCCTCATGTCTCAGTCTCCTGAGTAATGGGATCACAGGCTATAGAACTTAGAAAATTTTGGGGTGGCTCAGTGGTAGAGCACTTGCCTTGCATGCCTGAGGCCCTGGGTTCAATTCCTCAGCACCACATAAGCAAAAAGAAAAAAGCCAGAAGTGG